AAGCTGGGTACTCATTTTACCGACCTCGGAAGGATGGAAGGCTGAGTCAACCTTGAGCCGGCTACCTGGGATTTGAACCCCAGGTCGTGAGCACAGTTTTTTAGCTTGCAGTACAGCGTTTTAACCACTGCGCCACACACTGCATGTGCTTAGTTGCACAAAGTAGGTGGCATTGACTTTCAAGCACAGAGATCATATATGGAGGAAAAATATAGCGGGGTAAGTGAAATAACTGTAGTTTGAAAAGAAAACAAAGGCAAGAATGGGAGGTAAGTAAAGTGAAAATGAAAGAAAGTACAAATGAATTGATAGATAAATACACATGAGAGATAAGAGATGGCCACATTTTTGTTTTCATTTAGTGGTGCTCAGCCTCACAATGAAAGGCTCTTAGTAATTAATAAAGGTTCATAGGGCTTGCATGAAAATCTTTAACTGTCAAGAGGATAGCATAAAATACATTATAAAATAAAAACACATTGACCAGAGAAATAAGTTGAGCAGAAGAAGGAAGCACATTAAAAGATGAGCAAAACAAAGATAAACTCATAAAGAATTGCAGTAACCCGAATGAGAGTATAGATACAATGTGACAGTGTGACAAATAATCAAGACAGAAAGTGTTTTTCTTGATTTAAATGTTGAGAACAACATACTTTGGCTTAATGGTTCCTAAGCTTTCTGGCATTTACGCCCCACTTTTTCATTTTTGAGAAACTTATGACTCCTTCCCTCTCCTTAATCAACATGCAGCCTTCTTTGAACAAAAAAATTCAATAGCTGAGATCCTGTTGCACAACTTTACACTACATAAGGCTGATGATGTCATCAGCTGCAGCCATCTCTCAGGAGTGACAAGATTTCAGTTTTCCCCAACGTTCTGAGACTCTCTGTTGACCCCTTCTATCTTGGAGAATCATTTGGAAGTTGTGGGATCAGGGGGAAGTTTTTAATTCCTGAAAATCACCACAATTGATTCCCATCCTTCCATTCTTGCAGTCTGTCAAGGCTTCCCCACAATGAAAGGGATCGCAAGGGAATCTTGGAGCCTCCAGGGGCAGGGGAGAATTGGGAACTTTTAGTTCCCCAAAATAGTTATGTCAGCAGCCTTGAGGTGTAACTTTCTACTATTGGATTTCTGACAATACTGTATATACTTTGAGTTAAAAGTAGAGAAAATATAGAAATTTTTTTAAAAGACCAATAGAAGTTTGTCTTGTCAAAAAAGTTAATAAAGATGTACTTTCCCTTAAGAAATAGCCCAAACAAAGGAAACTTAATGTGAAGGATGTATATGAAACTGTGGAAAACACTTCTGTAAATGAATAATATGAAACCTGTGTGTAAAGCATAAATGTACCTTACTCAGTGTGCATGTGTTTGGTCTATTAGTTTTAAGAAACTGTGACCAGTACAGTGAAGTAGGTGTATACATGGTGCATACAGGTCTCATGCTTAATCATATAGGAAACTGCAGTGGATTGAGTTTTGCTGAAGACAGATTGTAAGCCTCCCCTTACACGTCTTTTAAGAAGTGTGCTATAAACATTTTCCTGGTGTCCTCTGTCCAAGGTGCTGGATTGTCAAGTTATATGAAACATCCTTGTAGTACTGTACAGTGGTACCTCACAAGACGAACGCTTTGCAGGACGAAAAACTTGCAAGACGAAAGCATTTTGCGATCGTGTTGGTGACTTGCAAGACGTCTTCTTCTAAGGCCGTGCTTCGCAAGACAATTTTTTCCACAATACCGATGCCTTGCAAGACAAAAATAATTCGTTTGTCTTGCAAGGTTTTCCATAGGAATGCATTGCAATGCATTCCTATGGGAAACTGCTTTTCGCAAGATGAAAATTTTCCAAGACGGCGCTACTCGTGGAATGAATTACGTTCATCTTGTGAGGCACCACTGTACTTTGCTCTGGCATTTATTATGCCTTGTATTACTGCAGTTCATGTAATTCTTGGGAATGGTAAACACAGTGGTGAATTGCTGCAGGTTCTCTGCCTAAGGTTATACAATGGAGCTAATTTCATTTTGCTCAGTTACATGAAACAATGGGGAAATATAGCTCTTCAAGCATTCATTTCTGAATTCCATACTGGTTATTTAGGCAAAGCTGCCATACTATTACTGGCATTGTTGAGCAGTAATTGTATAATATGTATCATTGGTGTGTCACTTGAGTCTCAGTACCTTTCAAAATTAGAAGGTTGAACCCTCAAATGGCATTCTGTTCCAGCTTTCATATTTGGAATTTTCATGGAAAGGGCAAAAATATTGTAAATAAATAAATAAACAAGCCTTACTTTGCAGTATGCATTTTTCCAGCTGCAGCCTTATGAGGGCTTGAAGAAGAGAAGAGAATGCTGCCCACACAGACTTAATGACTACATTTTCGTTCCCCTCATTGTATCTGGGAACTTAGGAAGAAATGAATCCTCTGTAGGCAGTGTAGAAACTCTTTCCTGTAAATCAGATGTTTGTAAGATATATGTGCAATACGAATTAATGGCAAAGAGGTGTTTTCCCCCATATGTCTCTAAGCAGAGAGGTTGCTTAAATTAAGTAGGTGGATGCAGGCAGGCATGTATCTTATTTTTGCCACACTTCAGCGTTTTGAAGGTTTGCAGCCAGAGTGGGACTCTTCAGATAGGAACCATCTCTATGGCTAGAGGCTTCTGTTGAGGTGAGTGGAATATAGTACAATGGATTGTAATCCCAGGAGCCAGGACAAACCAGCCATTCAGTCCAGATACTGAGACTGCTGGTCATCTCGCTATCTCCAGCACTATCCAGAAGTGCATCTCTGTATCCTATGTAAATGACTAACTTTCACCCATTTCGTACAAGGTGAAGAAAATCAATGGTAGCTATAGTATTGAAGGCAAACCTGTCATTCTCTGTCCAGGAAGCAATATTGTATATATGGATAAGTGAGTGTCCATGAGTATCACCTCGCATGCACAGCCAGAAACGCATGCTCATTGAACCATGTAGGGTTGAACCTGCAGGGAACCAATGCAGGGTATGTGTAGTATACAGACCCTCCCTTTTCCTTACCTGTCATGATGGGGCATTTGCTAATATAAAAAGGAGTACACTCAAATAGCTAGGGTAGAAGCTATTTATAGTAAACATAAAGGTGCAATAGTTGTACGGATGATGTTCATAAAATTTTGATCTCACTCCATATGATGTACATCCCTGACTTAATGTTCAGTGCCAATAAAAACAAAAAGTCTTCCTGTAGCTAGTCTTCGGGTGTAGAAATCAGTACCACTCAATCTGAGTAGAAGAGTTTTCATTAAAATAACGTTAAAAGAACATAATTCATTCCTAGGCTTTAATTTCATTCAGCACAATTCTTTCCTTTAATCACTAGTACCTCTCAAACTCTCAGACTGCTCTGTGAGAGGCTTCCAGAAACACTCTATTCTGGCTCTTTCCATGCCAGACTGCTTGACAAACATACTCCAGCAGTCTCCTAGTTCTTCCCACACAGTCATCTCTGTTACCAAGTTGGTACCATTTCTGTTACCAACGGAGTGTTACCAACATTCAGTTCTCCTTGCTTATCCCCTCCTGTCATATACTTACTAAACAACATAAACAATACATTTAAATGGAGCCAAACACCATAGGCTAGTTAGATTGTTTAGTAGAATTTTAGTTCATCAGAAACCCAGCTTCTTAATAGTAATACAGTGGTACTTGGAATATCTCAAGGCATGGTCTCTTGAGCTGTAGTAACAAAAATCAGGAGGTATGGCAGAGGCCTCTTATATTTCCCATCTAACTTACCAGCTTCTAAATAACTAGCTTGTGACGCTGCGTAATTGGAAAAATGGACCTAATGGCAAGTCATCTGATTTAGGTGTTAGATTTGAGGATGACGCCAGGTTTTTCCCAGTTTATCTTCTTCTGTCTTAGGACCTGTTTAATTGGATTATGGAAATTAGAAGGTTTTTCTGGATGCAAATCATTGCTTTGCCTCTAATATAATGGATTTTTAACATTTGTAAACAGGGTTAAATGCAGTTGGCAAAGAGGGAAAGCCATTCTTAAACAGCAGTCATTGGAAGATAGCTTATTACAGAGGTGCAGTTTAGTAATTTAAGACTCTAGATTTAATTTTTTTGCCTGCTTTCCTTTAGAAGATAATATTTTTATTTTGAAATGTGGTAAGTCAGCTTTGCTATGTGTAAGGGGCCTCCCCCTATTCATTCTGGTGTGTGGGCTCTAAAGCTATGACCCAAATAGGCAGCAACACTGGCTGTTTAAACTGAACAGTGTAATGTAGACCTGTTTTCCTGTTGTTTTTACAGTTGACCTGCAGATGTGCCCTTTCAGACATCAGTTGTGCTTCCACATCACAGGAAAAAAAACCAGTCCTATAATTTGGTTTTGTTTGGACTCTTCCCAATATTTTTGCTAGAAAAATGGTGCAGATTTACAGTCAAATTAGTATTTCAAAGATATAAAAAGTGTTTCTTTGTGTGTAAAATATGGCCACAGCTTGTGGATTTACATATTGACTTGGGTGTATTTTCAGGATTATATAAATAGTACTAACAAGCTAAATGCCGGTATGATGTCATTACTTGCGTGTGTTACTCCAAAGAGGCTTTATGTGTTTGTGACAAAAATATGGGAGAAGAGGGGAGAAATTGACAAACGTTAAAGCAGAACCTCAATAATATGCTTTGAAGTTCATGAGACTTATTTCAAACAGAGAAATTGGCTTGAAACCCCTCACCTTGTTAATAGTTACCACATTGAAATCTTTGTCAAGGTTAATGTTCTTAGTGCTTCTATAAATTTCTATATATATATTTCTAATCTGTTTCGCTCATTACCCTTTGACTTCTCTTTGCTTCAGAGGGCTTAACTTCACTCTGCTCTGATGGGGTCAGTCTGAGCTCTCATGCCATTTTTTTTCGCATTTTGCAAGACAGATGATCTTGACAGGAGCTTTGGAATACTTGAATAACCATATTTTTAAAAACCTCAGTAAAAATAATTTTACAGGAAGAATTTTTGTTTGATGCAGCCTTGGTGGAGGGATGGACTGTAGTCAAATATAGCAGCCATTCTCAAACCTTTTTTTTTTTTGGCCCCTCTCCGTTTAGGATCTCTTCTCAAGCTCCAACCCCCCCCCCCCGTCAAACAAGGATACAACACAAACATTTTTCAGAAACTTCTGACATTTTTCAGTCTGTGACCCCTGTATGACCCCTGTTGAGAATGGCTGTGCTAGAGCATTTCTCAGTCAAGGGGCAGCAAGAAAATATAGAATTTTCTTCTTCTCTAAGAAGAGTTTCCTGATTCATTTATTCTTCAAGAAGACATCACTGCAGGTTACCAGACAAAAACTTAATATGCTTAATAAATATATAAAGCATTCATCCCTCTGGTTTAACAGTGGTCTAAACATTTGTTAAGATTATTTAAAACAAAAACGGGTAACACCGGTCTTTCTGATGCTGTTGGCTTACAGTTCCCATCAGTCTTTGCCAGCAGGACCAGTGATGAGAGAACATGGGAGTTCATTTCCAAAAATGTACAGTTGTCCACTCCAGATGGGAGTGTTTAAGGAAACTTTTTCTTTTCTTAGGGTGCATGGTTCTTCCGAAGTAAATAGGTAGCAATGACTTACAGGTGTGGAACTCTCTATTAAAATGTATGTTTTTTTTTTCCTGGCACAGTTTCTGTGTATAACTTTGATAAGACCAAGCAGTGCATTGGCACTATGACTATTGAGATTGACTTCCTGCAGAAGAAGAGTGTTGATTCTAACCCATATGATTCAGACAAAATGGCAGCAGAGTTCATCCAACAGTTCAATAACCAGGCATTCACAGTTGGACAGCAGGTCTGTATATTTCTAACTTAGTAGTGGAACCATTTATATCTGGGAGGGGTAGCTTCCTATACTCTTTCAAACAGCCATTTATAGAGACATGGAAGAAAGCAACTAGAAAATGAACCTTCACAATTATATGCATATTTCCTCATTAGAATTATCTGTTGGCAGTACATTTTTTTCTGTCTACTCAAAACCCTTGAAAACCTTTGATTGATCAGATGTTGTAAATTTTAATGGTCATCAGACACATCCAACTAAGTGGCAAAGGATTATGAGATCTGAATACTGTGACTTATGGAAGGTCAAAGGTATCCTACCTAAATTTTTCAGGTTAGTTTGAGGTTTGTTCAGAAGCCACTGGTAATGGTGCGGCTAAAAATATCGTTAAAAACTTATTGTATTGTAAATAAATAAATAATGAGCTTTTAAAATATAGGTATACAGTTCTGACGTACATGAAAGATAAAGGAAGAGGTGAAATTCTGAGCAAAAGCCTTGTTTAAGTACCCTGAAGATGGGTGGAGTACATGGTTTGCGGGCAAGTTAAAAATATCTCAAATCGCAAGGTTGGAATAGTCATCTGCCTGACACTGCCCACCATTAAAGGATAGCTCCCCCTTTTTGGAGAAGAAATGATACTGGATCAGAAAGATCACAAAGTGCAAAATGGCATTGCATTTTTAAATGGATTTAGTACTTGTCCATTATAGTAGACAATAGAGAGAAGTTGTATTATCCATACCTTCTGAAGAGGTTCTACAAATCTGAGGTGGAGGAAGAGGTTTAAAGGCCAAATGAGAAACAGAGGATTGGTTTTAGAAGTGCAGCATAATGTGGAATGGATTGTAGAATGGATTAGGACTTCAGTGGGTTTGGAGCATGGCTGCTAGTTATAAAAGGGTAGCAAAAGTCTATTGGGCAGGAGAGAGAGCCAGACTAGGAATAAAAAGATAAAAGTGATACTTGCAGTAAACCATTTCAATGTGCAGTTCTCCTCTTCAGAGTCTCAGCCAGCGAATCAAACATGTCCTTTGTTTGCTTCTCTCTTTTTTCTTGTGCTTAGAATCAAACATGTCCTTTGTTTGCTTCTCTTTTTTCTAGTGCTTAGCCATTGATTGATTGATTGATTGATTTGATTTGATTTATATCCCGCCCATCTGGTCTATACGACCACTTTTAGGTTGCAGGGTTTCTTTAAGGTTTTTGTGTATTTTTGCAAACCTTTTCCCACCATCTCCCTGTAATGTTTGACTACATGAGTATCCAAATCTCAAGGAATTAATTCTTTAATAGTTATAAAAGGAATTACAAAAAGGTAGTCAAAGCAGGGTTCAGAGAAAGCCTCCAAATTTTAAACTTTGAATACCAGCAGGAAGAGTTGTTTCAGTCTTCCTTGCTGGCCAATCAAATCTCTCAAATTAGGCCTCTTATCAGATTCCTTTATTCTGTTTTTCTGTACATTAAAAGCATATTTTTTCATGGATTCATCACATATATTCTGCAGATGTTACCTGCAGAGGGTGCAAGGGGTAAAATGATGAATTGGGTAATACCTCTTAGTTGTCACCTTTATGCTGACTTAACAGCAATAATTTGCAAAGGAGTTGCTCTCACATTTCTAGCAGTAATAGTAAATTAGTTACGTTGAGTAATTTACACAGTTGCTAAAACACTTCAATCAAACATTCCTTTCAGTTAGGTAAAAGGAATCACTTTATAGGACGAGCGTACACATTACCTTCTATGAATAGTATTCACTGTAGGGTACCGGTTCCAGTAACAGGCCAGTGTCTCACACAACACATAGTTCTGTTCTAAAATGCGTAAATCAGCAAGGTACTGAATCTTGTTATGTAACGCATCTATTGTAACTCTTTGGGCAAAACTTGTGTTGGTCTCATCTTGGATTACAGATCCAGTTGTCTGTCAGCAATGCAAATGCCAGTGTTACAGTATCTTTATTCTTTCTTCATTGTCTTTCCTGCAGCTTGTGTTTAGTTTTAATGACAAACTCTTTGGCCTGTTGGTCAAAGACATTGAAGCGATGGATCCCAGCATCCTTAAAGGAGAGCCTGGCACAGGAAAAAAACAAAAGGTAAGGGCCACAGTTGATTCTGTGACTTAGGACAGCATGCATGTACATCATTTGATGATTGGCTGAGAAATATGTGAATTGAATCCATTGAGTTTGAAACAGTCTCTGTGGATTGCATAGACAAATCTGCTGATGTGATGGTTGGTTAAATGTGTTGAAACTTGATCTAGTGAATCACTTTAAGTCATACATAAGTGCTAGTTTATATTGGCTCATCTACATTTGCAAGCCATCGCTTGATCCTTCAGTCTTTAAGTGACAAGCAAGTGTGTTTTTATTTCCTGTTGAATCAAAATTGTCTTTTTATTATGCAAAATACTGTACACAAACCAACTCTAGCTCTGGTTTCTCAGGCTAGAGTAGATCTATAATCAGACTTTCACCAAGATGCTCTATGGACAACCAACCCAACCCTTGAAAAGAAGAGAAAGAAATAGAGAGGGGACAGAGGCAGGTGATAAGAAGGCAAGGAGGAATAGGTGGGCACTACCTGCAATGAAAGAGGTGGGAGATGGATGACTCAACAGTGGCATCTAAAATTAGCCTGGAATCTTTTGAAAAGTGGAGGAGTGTCCTTTGTCTGAAAGAAACCTGGTTGTTAGTTCACACTAGCTTTTCTCCTTGTAGGTCTGTGTTATTTTAAATGTAAATATGGTAATATTTATTTATGCTACTTTTTTCTCATCCTGTTCCCCACCCATCTTCCCAATTTTGGAGCCAGTGTGTTTTTTAGCACCTGTCATCTCTTCTGGCAGCTGATTTCTGTCTTGGAACACTGGATTCTAGGTCATGTTCCCTGTTTTCAGAGATAGAGCTGGAAACATAGGCACAAAAAGTCTTTTTGACATATGTGGCTCAGAATAATTTGGAGGCAAAAGACCAACTGTGTTCAGATGGCTTTACATTCTGCTGCCTACCAATTTCCACTGCAAGGAAACTTGTTTCACTATAAAAATTATGCTCTTCTGAAGCACTCTGCGGAACACTGAAAATGTCACTGTTCTTCAAGGCTTTTAATTTTGGGTTTTGTTTGCTTCCCTATTTAGATTGACGTTGGTCTGGTTGTTGGGAACAGCCAAGTTGCATTTGAAAAAGCTGAGAGCTCTTCCCTCACTCTCATTGGTAAGTGTGACAAATGGAAAACAGATGTGCATTCCAAGCAGTATGTAACAATCCCAAGAACTTTCTAGCCTAAAATGTTGTTTTTTACTAGTCTGTCTGCCCACACATACCAGTTTGGTCACTGCGTTGTTTTCTTCTGTAGTCTTCTCCACTAATTGCATTGAGGCCACTCTTACTCACTAGAGGCCATTAGACAAATGTCTATTTACAGAGATAGTGTTGTGCAGTGGTTAGCATGCTAGACTATGACTTGAGAGATTCAGGCCCTAGTTCCTACTAAGTTACAAAAGTCCAGTAGAGGAAATTTCATTTCTTGTCTTTCTCTGTGACTCATGAATTGGGTTTATGATTCATGATCCACAAATAGGTTGGTTTTTGACCAGAGGTAACCACCATCTCTTTGGCCTAGATTTTGTTTTTCAAGGGGGAGGAACTGAACAAGAGAGGCAAAAGAAAGTGACAGGCTTTTGTGTCTTGAATAGTTGTGCAGCAGAAAGAATGTCATTGGACAACTATTCTGTAGGTGCCCAAAATAAATTTCAGTGGAGGAAGGACCCTGCTGTTGCCTTGTTAGGACCAGTTGGTGCTCCTTCCTCTCTGATGCCATTAACAGCTAAGTATCCTGAATCAGTAAAAAGGATTGTGTTATTTCACCTGCTGTGACCCAAGCAGGAAAGGGTGGGAGGTGACAGCAAGATCCCATCTCTTCCATCAGCCTTCTGCAATAAATACAAACTCTCCAGTTCACCAACTGGATTCACTAGTTGTACTTTTGCGTAAAACAACTACAGTATGAATATTATTCAGATACAGTATATGGGTAATGAAAATGAAGCTTTAATATGAGACTGCGTAAATATTCAATTCCATTATCTTTAATAAAGGACCAGGACGGACCCTTGAGAGTAGGAAAGCCTAATCTTGATGAGTTCTTCTACAACAACTTCTCCATCCTGCTGCCTTCTAGAGTTGTAGTCAAACACATCTATTTTATTTATTTTATTTTATTTATTAGATTTTTACCCCGCCCCTCTAGACAATGTCTACTCGGGGCGGATTACATAGATAAAAACATGGTAATATAACATATATAACATTATAAAATTACTATTATAACAATTAACCTATGACTTGAGAGATTCAGGCCCTAGTTCCTACTAAGTTACAAAAGTCCAGTAGAGGAAATTTCATTTCTTGTCTTTCTCTGTGACTCATGAATTGGGTTTATGATTCATGATCCACAAATAGGTTGGTTTTTGACCAGAGGTAACCACCATCTCTTTGGCCTAGATTTTGTTTTTCAAGGGGGAGGAACTGAACAAGAGAGGCAAAAGAAAGTGACAGGCTTTTGTGTCTTGAATAGTTGTGCAGCAGAAAGAATGTCATTGGACAACTATTCTGTAGGTGCCCAAAATAAATTTCAGTGGAGGAAGGACCCTGCTGTTGCCTTGTTAGGACCAGTTAAGGGAAGGCCTGCTTGAATAGCCAAGTTTTGAGCTGGCTTTTGAAAACACCAATCTAGAGGACATCCAGGTTGTTCTTGTCTTTCAGCAGGAGAAAAGAGATCAGGTCCCAGGAAAACTGGATTTGCCAGAATGTCCAGCAAAAACTTGTGTTTGAATTCACATTTATTCACACATATGTTCCTTTGTTTGTTTGTTGTTTTTGTTCTTATATATTTGTGCTCTGTGCTTGAAAAACACAAAGTAGCTGGTTGGGTGAGTGGGCCAACTGGGGAGGTCTCCTGTGAACACACTAAATATCTACTGGCCATCTGAATAAACTGCGTGCATGTCTGGGAATGTATGATACTTGAGGAGCAGCAGTGAGCAAGCAAGCTACTGAGGAAGGATGAGAAGTGTTAGCGGGAGCAGATCACATCCGATATGGGGACGAAGTGAAGAGGTTTTTCTCCAACAAAAACACATCTGAAATCTGAAGTATATAAATGAGATTTATACAAATTCTTTTTTGAAGAAGCTCTTCTCACCAAAATCCTCTTGTTTATCTTACACCAGTGTAGAGGAAAATATGTCACTTACTGTAGCACAACCTGGAATCCAAGGGGGGAAACTCTTTAATTAGCAGCTGCTAATTAGAGCCTCCACTGCCATGTGTGAAGCCACCCAAATTATGCATAATGAGTTATTTCAGCAGGGACTCTAGGAGCCACTAATTAAGGAGTAATGGTTAGAACTCTGAATTGAAAATACAGTGATCAAAATTCAAATCTCAGTACAACCTTCAGAGCAAACCAGGTGGTATAGTGGATAAAGTGATGGACTAGCATTCTTGACACCTGGGTTCAAATCCTTGCTTTCCAGCGGAAACTAACTTTAGAAGTGTAAAGGTACTGGTAAAACCACTACTAAAACATCTCATGTATCTTGAAAAGCCTATCAGAATCACTGTAAGTCAATGCAGCTTGATAGCATGTGACACAATTCAGTAATCCATACTTGGATTTTGGGTTGTGTTGCAGTAGATGATAAAATTTCCCTACACCAGCATAGGTTATGTAAGAAGATTTGACCGCTAGCTTCGTTAGGCGAAATAGGCTTCGTTAGCCTTCCCTGCCCTTCTACCTGCCACCCCCAAATCACTGGAAATCTTTTAGCTATTTTTCTTTATTTAATTAAATTTATTAAATTAAAGCCCAGTTATTTTATTGGGAATTCTGTAGGATTTGATTGTGTTAGTAAACAAAAGACAACCTGTTTGAAGAAATGGCCTTAGTCTCTTTTGTGGTCGAAATCAAAATACTACCTGTGGCCAGCATGTGGCAGCAGAGAATAAGGAAAGTTAAGTGGGAACAGGAAGCCTATGAGAGCAATGGCTAACTGTGGCTTCTCCTGGCCAGCTGAAAAGGAAATGAAATAAAGGAAAACACTAGAAGTCTGCAACCTAAGAAATGGCCAATTACTTCAGATCAAGACATGCAGTATGGCTTGCCTGCATTTCTCCTTAACCTTCCTTCTTTTATTCCTACTGGTGGGTCATTGAGCCTATACAAAAGTAGAAGCAATAACAAGAAGAATGTCCTTATCCTTGTTTATGCTTTAATGCTAGCAACTTCAAGCCTTCTTGGTTCTATGGCTCACAATCTTGACCTCTCCAAGTCTACCTTTTCTATCTGCTGTACTTTTCTGTCAATTTATTCAAACTCTCATGTCTCCAGACTCTGTGCAGTTCTGCAGCAACCTTGATTTTCCTTTGCATTTCCTCTTCTAGTTAGCCTTTTATTGCTTTCTCAGCTTTGTGCCTCTGCCCTTTTCTTTGTGGTGAAGACTTCTGGGAATTGCAGTCCAAGAACAGTTGGCTTACCCAAGGTTGGGAACCACCACACTAAATGAAAATCAGTATTTGATGTATCCAGTGGGTCATCTTCAGCTGAGACCAACAGTTGAATTTAGCTCTGTCTTGATCTTCTTGCCCCTTGACTCTTTGTCCCCTAGCTTCCCTCTTCCCAGTACTCAGACTGCTTTTGTTCATGCTGAATTCTTAACTGTTATAGTTTCCCGAGTAATGGATAATTTTTTTGCTACCATAGTTGTTAGGCTAATTATAATTGAAAGGCTTCACTCCTACATGTGCAGTGCAAGATAACTGTTGTGGGTAGAAGGTAGATTTCTGGATTACTCGTAGTAGATCATCAAGAGTGTCTACACCAAATAGTTGCTAGATTTTGGAAAGATGATATAGAACAGATCTTACAAGTCTGAGGTCACCCCAGGTTTAAATTCAAAGCAAAATAGCTATGCTGATGTTCAAGCTGTCCGACTGTGAATGTGTATTGGTGAACAATAACTTAGATAGTAACAGCAGTCTTAAGATGGGAAATAACTTTAGAGCCTAATGTATTTTTTTGATCTTGTCTCAAAGATATACAGTACTTTCTCTCTCTTGTCCCCGGTGCTGTTCCATACTGGCTAACGCTCTGCTCTGAGTATTAATCAGTACGTATAGAATGCCACCGTAGTCAGCTTGGAGGAGGATGGGTAGCATCTAAGAACCCAGCTGACCGAAGAGAGTGAATGCAATTCTGATGGCAGTTTTAGAACAAAATTGCTCCAAGGGTTGAATGCTGCACAGTTGTTCCATCAAACTGTAACTTGTAGTTATAAAGCCACAGAGTGCCTCTTCAAAAACAGTGGGGCCTGTGTGTGCACAAGGGAGTAAGTGGCGTGAGATACAACTATATGCAATGAGGAAAATGCATTCAATGCATATGTGGAAAAAAACAGGCAGTTTGGCTGATTTTAACTGGTGTTTATAGCCAGAGTAATATTACCTTGTTACTTGATACAAAGTAAGAGTCAGAGTGCATAAGAATTCTCCTTATTGTATGTTGGAACAGACTCTTCAGGTGACTTGATATAAACAATATCAAGATATGTACAATATATGCATCGCAGTGAAGAGTCTTGTGCCACAAAGTTCCTAAAAAAAAAAAAAGAAACAAAATCTCCCCCTCTAGTGGTCGAAGGCAGAATAGCAGCTTCCCATTAGTTTCTATGGACGGAAAAGAGCAGATACGGATCAAGTGGTTCTCAATGCATTCCTATGGGAAATGCAGATTTGACCTGAGAACTTTTTGACTTGAGAACCGCCTTCCAATACGGATTAAGTTCTCAAGTCAGGACCCCACTGTAGTTATAAAGCCACAGAGTGCCTCTTTAAAAACAGTGGGGCCTGTGTGTGCACAAGGGAGTAAGTGGCGTGAGATACAACTATATGCAATGAGGAAAATGCATTCAATGCATATGTGGAAAAAAACAGGCAGTTTGGCTGATTTTAACTGGTGTTTATAGCCAGAGTAATATTACCTTGTTACTTGATACAAAGTAAGAGTCAGAGTGCATAAGAATTCTCCTTATTGTATGTTGGAACAGACTCTTCAGGTGACTTGATATAAACAATATCAAGATATGTACAATATATGCATCGCAGTGAAGAGTCTTGTGCCACAAAGTTTCTCCCATGATAAATCTGTTAATACTGTATTTAAGGTTCCACATGCATATTGTTTGCTTCATTGGGAAAGGGAAAACATTAGCTGAAGAGGTAAGTAAAGGCAGCATTGTAACTATGTACAGTACAATGTTATGAATGAATAAATAATAAATAAAATAGCTGAATTTTATTAAAAGGGCATAAAAATAAAGTTAAAAATGCAATGTGGTTGTGTGATTGCTTGAGTCTTCTATTTCTGTGTTCACCTTTGGAAATAGGTCCTTGTAATTGACAGACCTTACCTCTGAATACGTACATATAGGATCATTTTATAACATACTGGCCACCAATTTTTTTTTAAACTACATTTTAAAAGGTCATCAAGAGTGATGGCATTTGTTTTTACTTGAAATACTTTTTTACTTACAGATTTGGTCTAAACGAATAATGGCTGCTACATATCCTTCTTTGAAAACCACCAATAGTGTCCCTGCCTTGCAGTTAAATACTACTTAATTGGATGAGCAAATAAATATGTTACCTTTTTGATGCTTGGTGGCTAAATGTACATTTTTTTTTCATGGATAGGTAGAAGAGGCTTCTCCAATCTGTTACTTAGTTCTGTACTCAGAATTTAGTCTCATTCCAATATTGATTCAGAAGCTTTCGTCCAGGATCCTCTTTGTGTTCACAAGCTTGGGAAAAGTCCCAGATTAAAGTTTTCTGCATTTGTGTGGTATATAGTGTAGCTGCTGCTCTTCTTTTAACCTTGATAAATTTATGAACCCTGCTTCTTGTTCTTGACTTGGCCTTGTTTCTCTCCTCTTTTTGTATTGCCTCCCCTTCTTCATTGTTGTCTTCTCCATGTCAAATTATACATGGAACTTTCTTGAGAACAGGGATCTGTCCTACTCTATAAAGTTGATTCTGAAGGAGAAACCACATGTGCGGTTTCCCCATATTACTTATTGGACAATTGAGTTGAAGCTGAGAAAGGTTGACTTAATTCTGTAAATTCATGGCTGAGCTGAGGTTTAAATCAGAAATTCCTTGTTCATATTCTTAACCACTATGTCTGCTCCTACTGGCCTTATCACACACATTTCTATATAATGTTTTAATTTTGATTTTGCATCCTTGCACGCAGAATACAGAATTCTGAGCCACTTCCATGTTAATGAGTTCGTCATCCTTGAAATGTCTTCTCTTTCTCTATAGGCAAATCCAAAACCAGGGAAAATCGTCAGTCTATTATCAACCCTGACTGGAATTTTGAGAAAATGGGCATTGGAGGTCTTGATAAAGAATTCTCAGACATCTTTCGACGGGCATTTGCCTCCCGGGTGTTCCCACCTGAGATTGTGGAGCAGATGGGTGAGTACCAACCATGGAAGCAACTAAGGGGATCTCCCCAGCATGATAAACACACTTCAGCAATATGGAAGTACAGTGGCTTTCAAACTCAACAACACGGTTATAATGCACAGATTTGGTGAGAAGCAAGAGTTAAAATGGGAGTTGGCAAGGGTGGGATGAAAAAGGACTTTATAGCAGTAGGAACTGTGGAAATGTCAGATTTTACAACAAAAATGTAGCATGTTATCATCTTTCTTAATCAGACTGAGTTCTTTCAAAGGGGAGCCCTGAAAACTGAGTATAAATGTACAGTGGTGCCTCGCTTAGCAACGTTAATCCGTGCAGCAAAAATCGCTGCTAAGCGATTTTGTTGCTAAGCGATATTTAATAGCCCATAGAAACGCATTAAAGCCTGTTTAATGTGTTCCTATGGGCTAAAAACTGACCTTAAAGCAAAGATCCTCCATACGGCGGCCATTTTCGCTGCCTCTTAAGTGAGGAATCCGTGCGAAAACACAGCGGGTGGCCATTTTGTTTACCCGGCGGCCATTTTGGAACTGCCGATCAGCTGTTGAAAAACCATCACTTTGCGATGATCGGTAAGCGAAACAGGGAACCGATCACCACGAAGCAAAAAAAAACCCATAGGAAACATCGCAAAGCGATCAAGTTCGTCACTATGCAGTTTCGTCGCTATATCTTTCTTAATCAGACTGAGTTCTTTCAATGGGAGCCCTGAAAACTGAGTACTGTATAAATGTAAAGCGTTGGTTTGAGTTATGCCAGGTGCTAGGCAGAGTGAAGGCAACATTCAGACCCTTTGAACAGATTGCTTTGGACCCAGTGTGGCCAGTTAAATGCTCATTTTCCTCCAAGCTCCTTGTTTACTTACAAACCTTAAGGAACGTGCTAGCAAACACTAGGAATATCACCCGGCTGAAGACCAGAGTAGACCAAAAGGCTCTTCTCATCAGGTTCGCAGCTGCTAAAATAGCTCAGTTACTCCTGTACAACAGTGGTGTTCCCCTCTGAATAATCCAGGCTGTAACCTACATTGTTCATTGTGCATCTAGGTTTTCTGTTCCAATAGTTCTGGTTTTATCAAATTCAGATTATCACAGCACACAGCTCTCTCAGTTAAACATGGAGGCAGACTTCACTCTGAGACCTCAACAAGTTTAATTTTAGAGCGTGGAAGGGGCAAGAAGGATGAAGAGATGCAATAGGTAATCTCCCTCCCTCCCAGGTTGTGAGGTATAGAATTACTTCTCAGCCATATGGGCTTCTGTAACTCCAGGTGCCCATGAACTGAGCTCACGAGGAGGTCTGAGCAGGGCTATCTTTCTCAGCCCAGCTATTTGGAGAGTGCCATGAGAGAACAGGGGTTGACCCTCATGCATGCTGAATGCATGGCTTTCCCATCATATTGCAGCGATCTTCAAGTAAGAGCCCTTGCTTATTAGCAAGTAGAGCTTAAAGCTTCCCATTCCAGCTCCTTTTCTCTTCGACAGGCCCCCCTTAGGCTAAAGAAGCTTATCTGAAATTTGAAGAAAAGTGCTGCTTCCTGACACTCATCCTTCTTCTTTGCATTAGTTATAACTTGCTCTTCTAACTATATTTCAGGGCTCAAATGCCAGGTTGAGGTCTGCCATAATAATTCATGAGAGGGAAAGGAAAAGAAAGCAGCTTCTCAGTTCTGTGCACAACAGCGACAGCAACAGGTCTTTCCCCCCTTTTGTGTTTTCTCTCTTTCCTTGTTCCTGTGCCTCACAAATGAATAGCAATAAATATGCCAGCTGCAGTCTGGTGGAATCCATCTTCTGCATTGCAGTTGGCTTCCGGCTGTGTATGGTTTCCATAATTCTTCTTTTTATAAAGTGTAGGGAAAGGAAAAGAGATCTGTAAACCAATTTTTACAGTGCCACATCTGCAAAGACAGACCTACCATGAGGCAAGGTGAGGCAGCAGATTTTGGCTGATGGAATTTGGAGGTAGATAGGACTCCTAGGTTACACGGCCTGCTTGCCAGGAAAGTCTCCTGTGCAGGCCCCATTGAAATGAACTGGAGTTCCTTAAAGGTAGCATAGAAGCTAGGCAAAAAACTAAACAACATTTGTGCTGAACCAAGAGACAGAAAAGATGTCTTGCATCCCTCCTTCCAAATAGCAAAGAGTAACTATGTTAGTTTGTTGGAACTACAGCAACAAGGAAGCATACGATACTTACATTCATTGTGGAATCAGCTTTTGCTACATTCCTATGTGTCAAATAATAAAGTTGGCTATCCACAAAAACTCTTGCGGTATTAAGTGTGTTTAAGGTGCCATGGGGCTTCAAGATGCAATGTTAAATATATTTCTAATATCGTTACTGATGTTTCTCTTTAAGCTTGTAAGATATATGTTTGGTGAAAATACCCTTTGCTTGATCTTTGTTGTCTACATAACGTAACATGCTCATGTAGAACTTCAAGAATTTCGGCTGTTGTGAATTAAGGTCCCCAGTCAGCATTCCATCTGACATAATCCAGAGATATGAAAGCAGATAAAGCTATTCATTTCTATTGATCAGAAGGTTATCATGCCGTATATTTTCATCTACTGAGTTGAAGTGGTGGGTAGTGGCTAGACTGCTACAGAGGGACTACTTCAAATATTCTTTAGGCAGGAAAAGGTGCACACTGTCCAAAATACAGCTGGTAAAGGCCCACTTGTTTAAGCCCATCTAAATGGGTGTGTATGTGTGCGTGCACGCGTCTCTGCCTCCCTGCATGCAGCTATCTTCCTCCTCTGTGCAGGGATCTCCGGGGCGAAGTTGTAAGAGAGAGAGATGGAGCCCTGCCCAGTGGGGTTGAAAATGAGAGGGTATGTTGCCCATCATGCACTGTCTGTTTCACCTTCCTGTTTGCTCCCCTTTGTATGTCCAGACATGCAATCAGCTACGTGGCAAATTTTGCAGTCCCTGAATGCAATAGAGAGCCTATCAAAGGGCAGAGAAAATAACTTATACAATCACTCTTACACAGTCATGTATGTAAATGGGGTTCTGGCCACTGCCAAAATGGCCTGGGAAAGATGTACTGTAATGCTATCTCACTAACCTTACAAAGGTCAGAAGGTCAGCATGTTTCCAAGGGTTGTTTTCAGTGTTCTCTTTTACAGCAGCATTCGCTGTGAGTTCTGACAATAATTAAGGATCATGTTATGTACACACTGGTGTTTTCATCAGCTGTAGATTGCATGAAGGGTGCTTCCAAATCAGCTACTAGCTGTGGTAGTAGTAGATGTTATAGCACAGGCCTTGGTCGGCAACCACGGGGAATTGCCATAGAATGATGGCCTGGTGAGCCCCAAAACTGGAAGAAGGAGCAGAATGTTCATGCAAGGCAAAGCGGGTACAACAGCCTTCCGAGCCCTTTGGATTACTGAGTATCATCAGGTGACTGACCATGGCGACATCTGCAATGAACTGATGTTCACCTCAGTATCCTTTTTTTCTCCAAAGGAGCAGATGGAGCGGGAGACTAGGTCTATAGCTCTAAGTACCCATGCTGGATTGCTAAAACCTCCAGAAAATTGCCAACGATGAGGGCTAGCCATAATATCTAAAATGCTTCCCACAATTGATGACTAAAACTAATCTCCAGTGAGCTGCAACCCATCCATGCTGGTGGCCTTTCCTATAATCTTCAAGCAGGTGTTTGGCCGCCTTCTCATTTTCAGGCTTTTAGTAGATGAGGCTGCTGGTGTGTCTCCTCCGCGGCTGTGATTTTGCTAAAAGCCTAAAATTACAGCAAATGAAATGTACTTAAATTATTATTATTTTTTTTTGAAAAAGGCAGGCTTTGAGTCCCACTTTTGGGCTCAAGGTTTTGTTTTGTTTAATGTGTGCAGTTTTTTTTTTTACCATTTAGCCCAGGGCTTTTCTGTATGTGTGTTAAGAATTCCTGCTTTCATCTGATTTTTCTTTTTGTTTGCATTCCATCAGAAAGAGATAATTGTTCTTCAGATTGCATAAATCCTACAGGGTCCATTGGTTCCAATTCATCTTCCCTTGTTGTCACTTTCCCTGCAGGTGGTCTTAGTTTTGTCTTAATCGTGGAGGTTAACAGATATTATGCTAGGTGCTCTGCAGCCATCAGAAATAGCTGCTATCCCCATAACTCTTGTCTTCCCTGCCATAGACTAAAACTTCCCTTGTGCTATGATATGATGATATTTGGCTGCTCTGGCCACCCATGACTTGAACATCAATGGTATGGGATAGAGAATTGAGAGTGTGGATCTGAGCATGGCTGCAAGAGTGCTGAAGGAGACAGAGCATTACAAGCATCTTCTGCCAGTGTTTTGTCATTTTCATTGGCTCCCAAGTCCAAGGCTTAACTGCGGGGTTTGTGTTTGGAAGCTGTTTATGGACCTCACTTCCATGTGCTATGTATCTCCTGTGAGATTATCCTTTGAGGCTCCTTTCTGGTGCTCTCTCCAAGTGAAACACATTTCTGGGTGCCTATGAGTGGAAGGGGGGCATGGTGGCACTGTGGGCTAAACCGCAGACGCTTCTGTGCTGCAAGGTCAGAAGACCATCAGTCGTAAGATCAGATCAATGCATCGGAGTGAGCTCCCATAGCTTGTCCCAGCTCCTGCCAACCTAGCAGTTCGAAAGCATGTAAAAATGTGACTAGATAAATAGGTACTACCATGGTGGGAAGGTAACGGCGTTCCGTGTCTAGCCGCGCTGGCCGCATGACCACGGAAACTGTCTTCGGCAAACGCTGGCTCTACGGCTTGGAGACAGGGGTGAGCACTGCACCCCAGAGTCAGACTAAATGTCAAGGGGAACCTTTACCTTATGAGTGGAAGGACCTCCTTGGTTGTACTTGCCTGTTTGTGAAATGCCATTTTCAGAGCTGGGCACCACGTGCCTTCTTCAGTCTCTCTTTTTGTGCCAGGAAAATACCCTTTTCAGATTCTGGGGACTTTGCTATTATGATTTGATTCTTAATATTATAGCTCACTATA